CTCATGCACTATACTTGATGATCCTATCCCTGATTATGTAAGGAGCTCTGTGGTGGTTTAGATATGACCAGCAACAAGCAACCATCCTCTTCTTCAATTGACTTACAACTGCAAAGGCATCATGTGTTATCCCCTGTTTGATCATTCCATCTCCCTGAACAATTTGATCATCTAACACTATCCAGATCATCATTACAGCTCTGTAGTTTAATCTTACAGTTGATCCTACACCTTGTCATTGTCATCCCTACTCCACCTCACTTCTCACCTAGGTTTAGCACCAGTGTCACAGATAATCTTTCTACATCAGCCACAACTACAAAATCTTTCGCCAAAATTCATCATGGCAACCTCTGGATCCTACTCAGCTGTCCTTCAGGAAAAGGAACCTATCACCAAACCTATCACAGACCTCATGGTATGGGAGCCACCTGCCATAAGCACTGGAGCCATTAGCAAGCTTCCCAAACTCCCCACAGGCTCAGAAGTCATTACCAACCCACCAAACTAGCTCATCACAATCCACCAACAAATCACCAATACATACCAAGAATTATACATATACATTCAGGATATAAAAAACAACCCTGACTAGCTTAAAGAGGTAACTACTGGGTTTATAAACCTAGTAAGCAACTACCAATACATGGTCCAAGCTGTCAAAAGCAACCTGGAGATCCTTGACTATATACAAAAAGATCTCACACTCTCCTGTCAGAATTTTGGAATGGAGGTCAATAAGAAGCTATCACACTTTGCCATCACTGCCACTAATAGAGAGAAAGCCCTAGCAGTAGTCCTAGCCAGAACCAAAAACCTGCACAAAGACACCAAGGACCTTCACCAGTAGAAGATTATACAGGACCAATGAATTCATGTAGCAGAAGAGAAGGCCAAGAAATAAGCTCAAGAAACAGTCTGGCTCAACAAACTCCTCTGACTATAAGACAAAAGACTGGCTAAGCAACAAGCCACCCTCCTTCAATAATAATAAGATTATAACCAGGTTGGAACTTGGGTAGGCAAGACATAAGCTCAGTTAGATAGCCTTATGTCAAACACCTACACAGGAGCCCTACCAACTTCTATGAATGCCAAGATGATTAAGATACTTAAAGGCTACTCTAGAAGCCTCCTTAAGGACATTTACACAGCAAAATACACTAGAAGGTATGACCCCAAAACAGTTATCCAACAAGCCATCAAACAATCTTAGAAAACCACCTCTAAGAAACCCTTGCAATAATTGACATAACCATCACTAAAAAAATCCACCTCCTCCCAGCACAATCCCCTCAAATCCAAAGAGAATCCCTTGACCAATCAAAATCTTAGGCAATGATCAACCAGGGAAAGCTTAGTACATGCATAACAGCAGATCAACAGTTTACAGCACTCTGATGTACATATACAGGGTGGTAACAAAGGAACCCCTCCCCCACAAAGGCATATATACATAAATACCTCCCCACCTTCCTCTGACAGCAATAACAGTCACAGTGACCATTCTCAAAGGACTGTAACTATGGCCTTAGGGTTAGGTTTAGGAGAATTTACGTATAGGTCAATGGAAAAAGTTCTATATAGCCCAGCCAAAAAACGTCTCAAGTAGTTATAAAAAAATACTTAGATAGTTTAAATTATTCTACCTTAAGCTCCAAATGCCCCCAAAGCACTTACTAGCTGAATCCAAGCATTATAGAATGCTCAGATGGGCTCAGGCCCAGAAAAAGCAAAAAAGCCCAAAAGTGCACACCAGCTTGTTCCAAGCATCTTATAATGCTTAGATGGCTTAGGCCTACAAAAAGCACAATAAACACTGACCAGCCTGATCCAAAGCTTCATATCATGCTCAGATGGCTCAGGCCCACAAAAAGTGCAAAAAGCACTGACCAGCTTAATCTGAGCATCATAAAGTACTTTGATGGCTTAGGCTCACCAAAAGCATAAAAAGTGCTAAGCAGCCTGATCCAAGCATCACAGAATACCCAGATGGCTCCGGCCCATCAAAGGCACAAAAAGCACTGACCAGCTTATGGCATATAAAAGCATCATAAGATGCTCATATGGCCCAGGCCTACAAAAAGTGCAAAAAGTGCCAAGCAGCTCAATCCAAGCATCATAGGGTGCTTAGATGGATCAGGCCCACAAAAAGCTCCAAAAACACTAAGCAGCTTGATCTAAGCATCACAAGATGCTCAGATGGCTCAGGCCCATAAAAAGTGCAAAAAGTGCCAAGCAACCTGATCTAAGCATCACAGGATGCTTAGATGGCTTAGGCCCACAAAAAGCTCTAAAAACACTGACCAGCTTGATCTAAGCATCATGAGATGCTTAGATGGCTCAGGCCTACAAAAGGCTCCAAAAACACTGAGCAGCTTGATCTAAGCATCATCAGATGCTTAGATGGCTCAGGCCTACAAAAAGTGCAAAAAGTGCCAAGTAGCTTAATCTAAGTACTTAGATTCTTATATTCCTAAAAGCTCTTCTATAACCTATTCTAAATATCTCCAAACTACTAAAGAAAGAGAAAATAAAAGAAGAAAAAAAAACCAGTATAAAAAGAATGTAGAGTAAAAAGCTACTAATATAAGTATATTAGGTAGGAAAATAGAAGGTAGAGAGGATAGAGAGAGTGAAGTAGAAGAGGAGAGAGTAAAAGAGGAGGAAGTAGATAAGGGAGCAAAGGAGGAAGTAGATAAGGGAGTAAAGGAGGATGAAGTAGAGGAGGAGAGGCATATAGGTAAGAGGAGGGAGGGGTGTTTCCACCCATGCCAGACATGGCCTAACCATATACATTATAATAAACTAAAACACATAATCATAATACATAAAAATACATGTCATGGTAGCAGGGATATCTTACCCTCACCCATTACATGCCAAAATAATATCTGGATATAGCCTGAGCCTATTGGTAGAGTAAGAAGAGTAAAAAGATTATATTTAAAGATAAATAAAGAAAGAGAATAAGGAGAGAAACTAGGGAAAGAAAAATGAAAGGGTAAGAGAGAAGAAGAGGAGAGTATGGGAGAGTATGGGAGAAAGGAGAGGAGAGAGGAGAGAGGAGGAATGGATAGAGGTGATTAGAGGGAGGGGATTTTCTATTACATATATAATCTAGCTATACATGTCATAAGAAGTATATATTATAGTGGCAGTAGGGATATCTCACCCCCTATCCCCCCCCCCACCTCTATCCTAAATCTTATAAGACTATCTATCTAGATCTTAAAAGAGGCTGTTCTTCCTTATAAGGTGGTATATGATTTGGAACCATCCTATGTTTAGCAGTGTGTTTTAATACTATAATTAATTATTTAAGGCTTTGTTATGTATGGTTGATGTGCTATATGACAGAAGCATGCCAGGCCAGTATTATGGATATATGGCTTATGGCTTTATGGTCCTATGTTATTAGATTTGCTATGATATCACCAAGCATTAAGACATTGGCAATGACAATAGCTTTACATTACTGCTTGTCCCTTTTAGGGTAGTGGTATTATATATACTTTGGTATTGGTCCCTTCTCCCCCCTTTTTTTTATATTAATCCCTTCCCTCCTTTAAAAGGGGGAATATGCTACTAAAGTAAACATATATATTTATATTCTCTAGGAAATATAGAACTTAATGGCTGGTATTAAGTATGGGTCTATTTAAGTAGATATCCTTATTATTAAACCTAAGAATATGGTAACTTAGACTCTAACAAGTAATCATTTGGTGATAACTAAGGTAATAGACCAGATGTTACTTAATTAATCTAAGAGCCTGCTGTTACAACCTGCACACTAGGTACCTAAGTACTGGGTATTGAACAACAGATCGTAGAGCCGCATGCTCTAGGGTTGGGGTTGTGGGGAAGGTCAACTCTCGAAGGCAAGTATCTCAAGAAGGGGGTTCATACTCTGTTGAACAGATTACTGTCACTAAAGACTTGTAAAGTGATGGGACACAATAGAATGTAATTGCTTGTGTGAGGAACAGGAATCCTCACGCTCCATGGTACGGTGCACAATGGCTACTTATACTGGCTAGCTAATAGCGGGGAGCAAGGTAACTTATATCCTTCTTGGTAGGCACAAACATGATCTGTGCGATCTATTCAAAGATCATATAGATCAAGGACTGAGTATACTGATCTATGTGATCTGTTTAAAGTTCATATAGATTACTATAAATCATATGGCAAACCACATGACTCCACTTCTACAAGTGAGACATCACACGTGGTCTCCCTTTCCTAGATCTTCTGCCCTAAAGATCTGCCGTGGCTCCACCATAAGAATGTGCTTACCCTGCTGTCTGAAATTACTGTTCAACCCATTCCTGTTTCCTTCTTCACAATGGGTCGTAAACGAAAAGATCCTCCTTCCAATCCCAAACTTAGTACCACATGTCACCTTTGTTCTACCAATAACTCTTTCTTGTTTGGTTCTCCAATACCTTCATGTACCCATTGCAATAATAAGAACCTTAAATGTAAGGTCACTAGTAGGCTCTGATGCTATGGTCCTTATGCTTTGTCAAATGCCCCTTCTTATGATATCATGGGCCTAAGTCAGTCAGTCTTCAACTCTCTGATCAGTCAAAAGAATAAACTCAATGAGGCTAAAGAGAAGGCTTTGTTAGATAATATGGAGGCCTAGTCAAGGCTCCTTTGGCTATATAAACAATACCATGTTCTAGAGGAAAGAGCCTATAAGGCCTTTACTTAGGAGTCTTGGGATATCATGGAACTCAAGGTGCTAGAGTAAGTATCTGCTCCTGTCCCAGGCTTCTCCCTAGGCTCCTGGCTTGATCCTAAACTTCTAGATGACATGGGTCTTATCACTGGTTCCTCTACTGACCCTAGGTAAACACCCTTTCTTTCCTGATAATATAAGGAAAAAATAAGGAGATAAGGAAAAATGGAGATTTATATACTAATGCCTTGTGTCTAGGCATGTCAGGTCTTCATAGGTCATCGTAACCCAGGCCATTTTCAACAATTCTATCCCTATGGCATAGTGGTAGTGTGCTTTGCTCTTGTAGATGGGGCAACTTATGTATGTCCCATATGGCAAGTTGTCCTATATAGTGTTAGAGAGGTTAGGGGTTCAATTCCTCCTGGGGGCACTTTTCCTTTTTGGTTTGTCAGGATTTAGGTGATAGAAATCCTTGACCAGCTCTAGGCACTAAAGTCCCATATGTGGTTCCTAGGAGTTGTCTGTAGGTCCATAGCCAAGCCACTTGACTAGGTATTGTAATACTCTTTTTTCAAATCATAAATCCAGGAATTCCTCCACCTTAAATTCTTCTTCATCTACCTCCACTTCCAGCCTTTTTTCTAGTGGGACATTCTTTGGTACTGGCTCCAGTAATGATACATGGAAGACTCTGGTTCTGACTCTCATGGTCTTTAGTAGGTTAAGTTTATAGTTTGTCATTGCTACCTTCTTTTTAATCCAGAATGGCCTATACCTTTTAAAGTCAAGCTTCTTACTTGGTTATTTTATTTTTAAATTTCTAGAGAACAGGTAGACATGGTCTTCCTCTTCTAAAGTTAGTCCCTTAACTTTATATTTGTCATAATAGTGTTTCATCCTTTCATATATATGCTTAAGTTCCTCCTTTAGTAGCTTTATAAGTTCTTGGATCCTATCTACCCTGACTCCTACTCTTGGTGCTTTATAGGGTGGTCCTCTTTTAAGTTCAGGTTCTTGGCCAAAAACTACAAAGTATAGTAATACTTTCATAAATTCTACCATTATCATGTTATAGGCTAGTTATACTATTGGTAGCAGTTCTAGCCAGTTATCTTACTTAAAGTTGACATAGGCTCTTAGGTATATTTCAAGGGTCTGATTAAGTCATTCCATCTATCTATCTATTTATAGGTGATAGGTAATAGAGAGTTTACTCTTGACTCCTATCCTTATTATCAATACTTGCTAGAAGGTAGAGACAATCAGCTTATCTCTATCTATTATTATATTATCAGGCCATAGGTATACTGTAACATAGTTTCTTTTAAAAAGATAAGTAAGTTACTCTACTTTCATATCCTTCCTTACTGGCAGGAAGTAGGCCCATTTCATAAGTCTATCCACTATAACCTAGATCTGATTATACTTAATACCTATTACTAGATCCTTTAAGTTAAGTATCCCTAATACCTAGTCCATCAAAATGGAGTTCCATTTTTGTTCTGGGACTAGTAGTAGTTCTAATAGACCATACTATATATGCTTTTGGTTTTTTGACTTGTTATAGATGTTGTAGTTATATATTACTTTTTCCACTACTCCCTTTGCCTTTAGGAAATCATAGTTGTTTCTTAGTTGGTCTATTATCTTGGTGATTCCTATATGTCCTCCTATATAGGCCTTATATATTTTATAAATATATTCTTCTTATCTTTTTGATTTAACATAGGCTTTCCTATGATACCAAAGTAGTAAGTTATTCTCTACTCTTCCTTCTACTTCCAATAGGAGTTATTTATTATTAAGCATATCTCTTTTATATTAGAAGTTATTATTTTACCATTCTACTTAGTAGTTGGCATAATATTCCAGGAATGCTTATAGTACTCTTCTAAGGGTTCTATCTTCTAACTCTTAGAAGATAGGTAGAGTCTTAGGTTTGTCTTCTGTCTTATGGTTGATTCTTCTACTTAGTATATCTACTCTTCCATTTTCTTTTCCTTTAATATGATATATCTTGAAGTTAAACTACATGAGAAACTTAGCCTATTAGGTTTATCTTCTATTAAGTTTCTTGGTTACCTATGTCCTTAGGTTTAGGTGGTCTATAAGGATATCAAAGGGTTCTTCCATGTCACTTAAGTATAATACCTATTCCTCTAGGTATTAGATAATGGCTATTAGTTCTTTGTCTCTAATATCATAGTTTATTATTACCCCATATAGTCCTTTTAAAAGGAAGGCTACTAGGTATAGCTTTCTATCATCTTTATACTGGCTCAATACTCCTTCTAATATATAGTCCAAAGAATCTATCTTGATAATGTACTTTTTGTATGAGCTAGGCAGGGTATAAATAGGGGCTTGGGTAAATACTTTCTTTAGGCTTTTAAAAGCTTATTACTATTTTTCTACCTACTTAAAAGGTTTCCCTATACCTATCAATATGTTTATGGGTTTTACAATGTCTCTAAAATGTCATATAAACCTATAATAGAAGTTAATAAAACCTATAAAGGCTTATATGTCTTTCTGGGTTTTTGGTATCGGCCAGTCCTAAATTACATCTAACTTTAATAGTTCTATCATAATCCATCCTAGGGTTATCTTAAACCCTAGGTATAACAATTCTTGGACATGGAATTGGCTCTTTCTAGGGTATACTGAAAAATCCACCTTTTCTAGGGCTTATAGTACTATATGTATATGCTTTTTATGTTCCTTTATTATTTCTAAGAATATTAGGATGTCATTTAGATATATAAATATAAAATATAGGAGGTAATATAGTATATCATTTACTTTTTCTTAAAAGGTTATAGGTATATTTATAAGTCCAAAGGGTATCATTTTATATTAATAATGGCCATGATATATTCTAAAAGCTATCTTATACTTGTCTCCTTCTTTGATATAAATATGATTATAGCCTATTAGGAAATCAAGGGTAGTAAACCAATTTGCTTTGACTATTTATTCTCTTATTTCTAATATTAAAGGTAATAGATATTAATTCTTGATGGTATCCTTATTAAGGGTTTAGTAGTCTACCATTATTTATAAGTCTATGGTTCCTTTCTTAGGAACAAATAGGACTAGGTATCCTACTTCTGATTATAATAGTTTAATAAATCCCATGGCCAGTTGTTCCTTAATATACTCTTTTAGTATCCTATCTTATTATAGGTTCAGGTGGTATATTAGGAAGAACCTTAGCTTAGCTTCTTCTTTTAACTTGATCTTATAATCATAAGGGCTATGTTTAGGTAGTTTAGTTAACTTTTTCCTAAATAGTAAGTACTATAGATACTCCTTTAGTACCTTTGATAGATCTCTAAGATCTTTACTAGGTCCAGGTAGCAAGGACTCTTCATTTAGGTCCTTTATTATTATAATCCAAATCCACAATCATATATCTTCATAGATATCTTCTTCTAGTTCTCCTAGGATATTATCTTCTTCAGGGGTTCCCTTTTCTTAGGTATCCTGCTCTCTGTCTTATAAGGACATGGTTCCTTTCTTTTAATCAATATCAGGATTATATTTTAATAACTAGGGTTTTCCTAGTATTATGGAACACTTACTACCTATTAATAGTAATTAGAAGATTATTTCTTAGTAGTCATTATCCACTATGATTAAGAGTTTTGACCATTGCTTCACCAATCCTCCTTTATAAAAAGCCTTCTTACCCTCATATATTCTAATTGTCACTAGTTTCTTATATAACTAATAGGGTAGTTAGTAAAGATTAATAATCATAGGGTCAATTACATTGACATCACTCCCTAAGTCGATTAATGTATTAATAGGTTCTTTTACTCTAGGTAAAAGGATAGGAATAGTAAAGTCTTTCCTAGTATTTCCTATTCTTAAGGCTCTAACTGCCTATTCTTTTAAAGGACTTATTAATCCTAACCTAAAGGGCCTCTTCCTTCTCCTCTAGTCTTTAATCAGCCACTTTAGTAGTCTTACTTACTCTTACTTAAAAAGCTCCCTCCTTTTCCTATACATTCCCTGCTTAAGGCCATGGGCTTGAGGGTAATATGTTAGAGGGGGAACTTTACTCTGTCTACTTCCTTATAGGTGTCTCTTTTTAATCTCTAGTCTTTAGCTTATAATTGGAAAGGTTTAATGGCACTTAGTTCTTTCTATACTATATTATTAACATTTATGATTCTAATAGGGTTTCTTATTTAAATAACTTAGGTATGTCATTTCTTTCTTTCCTCTAGTTCCTTTTTCTCAAAGTATTAGGTTCTCTTAGGTATATGGAACTGGTAGAATATATATATATAGTCTTTTATGTTATAGTAGTTCTAGTATACTTCTAATGTATTCTGAAACAGGTAGACATACTCTGGTTCATGGTTTTCTTTAGTTAAGAAGCAGACCTTATACTTAATATATGGTACCATCCACACCAAAACTAACCTATCTCCTTCCCTAGGTGCCAGGTAGTATCTATAGAGTAACTTTAAGGTAATATATTCATTATCTATGTAATTATTAAAGAAATAGTTAAGCTATAGTATTAGGTAGTATTTAGGGTGTTCTAGGTCTATTACTGGGGAGCTTATTGTCTTTATCTGAGGGTACTATCTATTAGTGGTTTCCCATAGATGTTAATAGACCTGTCAAAGGGACTCCTACTCATAGGCTTCTAGCTAGTTCCTTACTTAAGTATTCTCTATCATCCATTATCAAGCTAATAGTCTTGCCCTTTCTAAGGTTTCTGGTTCTTCTTTAATTCTCTGAAATATATAGCTGGTCTAGTTAGTAATTTATAAGAGTCTCTCCTAATCTTCTTATAAGAAGAATTCTTCAAAAACATCTTAAAGTTCTAGCACTAAGTCATACATTGACTTTTTATTACTTCCTTTTATTAGCTTTTTCTTTATCATCTAATAGGCCATGGCTTCCCTATTAGTTAGTTCCTCTTCTAATTCAAGCTACCTATTATCATCTAACTCTTTACTAACTTCTATGGTATTAAAGGCTTCCTACTAGGTGACCATATCAAATATAGGTCTTCTTATGGGATGGTTTTACTTAAGAGGGGCTACCTTAGGGTTTTAAGTATTATGCCCCTTATCCCATATCTTCTTACTATAAGTTTATTTATTACTACTCTTAGTGTCTTTATAATATTTATCCACTTCTAGGTCATCATACTCCTCTAAGTTGACCATATAAACTACTAAGTCTATGCTGGTTCCTGTAATTTGTTGAGATTCTGGGACTGGTGTCTAAGAATTCTTTTTTGTAAAGGGTTTCCTTGTGCTTTGGTACTCCTATATATAGTATCCTTTCTTATTATAGTTGTAGCAAGTGGCCTCTTTTTTATCCTTCTTTCCTTGGGTATTTACCTTCCCTATCCACTATGTCATACCAATCTCCATGGGTCCTAAGTAACCATAGCCTCTATAT